CAAGCCATATAGCAAATGTGAACAATGATTTACTCAATTCTTAGAAAAAATACTTTGAATACTTAATTTGTAACAATGTTGTCCTAAGAACATGCCAGTAGAAATCTTCTTCTACAAAAAGCCAAGTTACAGAAAATTCTTCGAAAAATCTCTGAAAAAATACTCAGTTTGATCAATCAGGACTAACAACCAGAAAATAATTAAACATTTTGAACATACTAAATCTTGCCTTGTAAGAATGGCTAGTGATAAAGCTGTTGTAGACACTCCAAAGAATTTTATTTGAAAATATGGATTTCACTGGCTGTACAGTATGCCGTGGGAAGAATTATCATCAAGGTCTGATCCTAAATAATTTAGGAAGACATTTCTTTTCAACAAGATTCATGAGTTAAAACAGGAGGCTTTATGCAAAGCTCATGTTTATGGAAACTGCTGTCCTGCTGTGATAAACATCGAATTGTAAAGAAAATTGTCTAGAAATGTTAATAGGATTGACAATGACATTGCCAGTAAACAGAAATAGACTACAGAGCCATACTAGAATTGGTAACAAAGTTCATTCTTTATAAACAGTCATGAACTTTTAACCCAGCCAATCTTTGTAATGATTAACTATATTAGTAGAAAACCTTGTCAAAAAATGTACAAGAGCTCAATAGGACTAATCAAAACATTGGAGGGGTGCAATTAATAACAAAAATAATGTAACCTATAACGAAGGGAAATTAAATAGAGTTGTAAAAACAGGGACAGTGAAAATGGCTTACCTCCTCCTTATACGGTATATTAAGATTTGTAATGCAGGAGGGCAAAGGGACATTTTAAAGTAACATCTTTAATAAAACCTTGCCAAAATACACATAAAATACCAAAAAGCACAAATTCTGTTAACTAAATATTAAAACACACTTTTCACATGTATGTCTTGAAAATGAAGATTGTTTTGCTGTTCATCATTAATATTAAAAAAGAAAAACACCTCCCAAAAACAGGAAGGCAGGTCTTTATAAAATAAATGCAGAAAGCCAAGCTTGCTATATGTGCAACAGCAAAAAAATGATCACACATTTCACAATTTCATTTATGTGCAAAAGCATCAAAGTGCTTTAATACAAATTACAAACTATTAACACAGTAACTGAACAATTAAATCCACAAATTCAGATTTTGAACAACACAAAGGGGAACAAAAATACACTACACTTACAACACAAGACAGTTAGATATACTAATTAGAAAATCTCATAAATAATTCATGAATTATAGTGCAATAGATTTATGCATAAATAACTAATTACCAAGAAATTAACCAATTTTTTCTAAAAGAAAAAAAATCAAGGCTGCCACATATCTAGGTCTGTGACAATGAAATACTGTAATTAAAAAACGAAGTGAAAGGTTTTTTGTAAACAACTAAAATCAGTTTTACTAAAAGGTATTATACAATATAAAACTGTCAATAGCTACCAGAAAATGGTTAAACTTTGAGTAAAAGTTCTAAAAACAGAGGCACTGTATTGTTATACGAAAATGTTTTAAGAAACATTCAAATAAGATGAAAATTGGAACACCATTTCATTAGAACTTGGTCTTTTCAGACAGTTTTAAGAATATACCTCTGTTAAATGTGTAAAAAACAAACTGGTGCCCTTTTAACTGAACATTAACATGTAAACAAATTTACAAAACACTCACGATACTGGGACTAATTCATATCCATGAGTAAGCAAGTCTGAATAGTACATTTGTTTTTCACTGCAGTCCATCAGAGAGGTTTCTAGCATAGATCTACATTTTAGGTTGCTTTAGAAAATGATTTTGTTTCCAAAATAGCATTACAAACATCTTCTAAGTTTCATAATGTAATGCAATCTCAAGTCCAAGCTATCAAACCCATCACTTTATATACAGACCTACTTTTTTTAAATGTGAAGTTTACACTTGGTAACCCGTGTGATCTTTTATAAGAAGGATTAATAGCTGTATATTTCAATTTGTACAATAAATACCCAAATTTCTACCAAAATGAAACAACTCAGACTTTTTATACAAAACAGTTTCGTACAGCTTCAAATGCTGACTGCTTGTGGCATGAAACAATGAAACCCTGAACTGTAAATTTGGTATTAGCAGTACGATAATGTAACGGAGCATTATGATATTTGGACAGCTCTTGAAATCATATACATTAAAAAAAAAGTCACAGCAGCAAAGTTAGTTTTTAAATGAGGTTTTCAGTAGTAGAAGTGCGAAACAAACCTTCATAAATACAAATTTATATTAAAATATAACCAGCACACATTCACTAAAACTTACCATTCTCAAGCTTATTCTGTGCACATTTTGAACATGCTCTATGTTGCATTCCAACTTACCCATTATACTTTGCAGAGTTGCTTTATATATATAAAAAATTCACTGTTTCATAATAGACTTCAAATACAAACTATCAAAATTATTCTACAATGTGCTCAAAGTTAAGCTAATAATGTTGAAATTTATCATGAACTTCTGATGTACTAAAACACCAGGAAGTGCTTAAAATATCCAACGTTTTTGTCACTTCAACCTTGAACTTTTTTGCATTGTCACACTGATACTGTAATATATATATATAGGACTCGTGAAATGCCAGTATGGAAATAGTGTTTTTCTTGACAGCTTGTGATACCTTTGTACCGTTCCATAATCTGTCATATTCAAGGACTTGAGGAAAATAATTACTAATATCTACCTAGTTTTAGTACTTAAGTCACTTAATCAGTCTAGGTTTGAAATCCCATATGAAAGCTGCACATAACAATCATTAATGCTCTTAGAAGCTTAAGTTAAATAAAACCTGAATATTTGATAAGATTTTAAATTCTTATATAACTGAAACCAACAGTGTGTCATTATATCTATGTGTATATATATGCATATACATATACACACAAATATATATGCACATGTATATCCACAGTGAAAACCCTGAATAAACTATTTTAAAGGCATGTGTTGTGTTTTGAAGTGTTTTCTTAAAAATCCTGTCTAGAGTTGAATGTCCAAGTCAGACTCGAAGTTCAGTCTAAAAACTTTTGGAGCTGCTTGTCCCTGAATCAGTCACTTTAAAAATCCCAGCATCCGATAACCTGGGTTTCTTTTTCGGTGGAGTCTTCAGTGTTCCAGACCGTTCTTTCACTTTGTACTCTAAAGTGCTGTGAGGTACTCCGTAAATTCCTTGTGCTTTAGAAACACTCATTTTACCGCTCATCACCATTGTAATAGCTTCTTCCAAGATTTCATGATCGTACTGGCGGTAACGGCCACGCTTCTTCCTGGGCTGCTTATCTCTTCGATCCAGATCATCTGCATTTTCCTCAACTGAACCGTTCTTCAAATTAAGACACAACGGAGAAAGATCTGCTTGCATGATGCAAGATTCAATACCAGAGTGAGCTAGAGGTACAGAACAATCCATTTTGTTCTGTTTAGGGAGTATAGTTTTGAGTTTCTGAAGTGCTGAACCTTCTGGAATTGATGTAGCTTTAGACACTTGATACATTACATCCACAAGACCAGAGATTTCAGGTTGGGATTTGGGTGCAGAATTGACCCGTACCTGAGGGATTCTTAACTGTACAGCAGGACTGGTTGAATTTTCATAATAAAGACTTTCATTTTTTTCTTTCAGCTGAGTGACCATCCTCTGTAGAGTTAACTGGTGGAGGTAAGTAGAAGCCGTTGGAAACTTTAGCTCTGAGTTTTCAATTATGTTGAATTTACCCTGTTCTGTGCGTTCAGCTTGAGCTCGAGCCCAATTAGCCACCTTCTGTAGAACAAGATGAGTCTCTCTGCTTTTTGAAATATAGTCGTCCCCAATGTCTTGGCTGAAGGCTTTCAGTGTCGACAGCTTTCCTTCGTATAAGGCTTCTAACTGAAGAAGTAGATTTTTTTGAGGTATGCCGTAAAGTATGGCTGCTTTGTGAATGTCCAGTGCTCCTGACTGAATGTCTTTCAAGGCTTTTGAAAGCAAGCCTTCTGAAAACTCTGTGCTTCTTTCCACATAGTCATCTTTCTGCAGTCTCCTAGGATGGATGGAATGAAACGATGGTAAGCTGACGCATGACAGACTGGCACACAGCTATGGAAGGGAAGGGTCCACTCCTTTATTACAGTCCTTGCTTAGGTAACATCACTGCTTCTCTCATTGTATAAAGTGTCTCTGAGTTGTGGAATACCTGTATATAGTTTCAAACGTTAGAGGAGTCCTACAAGGACAGTCTGTCAATCATGCGGTAACAACTTCTAGGGAAGCACTTCCAATATCTTTGCAGAATTGGTATCGGCACGACTGCTATACTTTCAAGTAGGCAATTGGAATAAAAACTGTATGGTACTGCTGAAAACTATGTTGTACTGCTTGTTAGAATGGTGACGTTACCGCTGAACAAGTAATAAAAGAGTCAACCCATTTGCAAAGTGTACTAACAAAAACAAAATTGCTCAGATATCAAGTAAAGGTAAAACCTGGTTTTGCATGTGGAAAAATATAGCTAAACATTTGACAGATGTCTACGTATATCCTTACAAATGTTTACATTTGTTTAAAGATCATAAATTCAATGTATTTAAAATAATATGGTCCACTTCAGAAGATGTTATGAAGTTATATATTGATGTTTATTCATGTTAAGAAAATAAGGAAAATCTACTTATTTCAGCACAATATACAATCTAATACTTTATAACTTGTCGACATACCAAGATCTTAACCAGGCAGTAAAAGTGACAGTTCAGCACTCCCAGTTCAGAAAAACTGCAATTTCCACTGTCTGTGTTCATATAAACAAAAATAGAAATGCTCAAAACGTTCTTTTAAAATTGAGTAGTATCCAGAGTGCCTAATACTGCCCTTGAAAATAATTCTAAAATTAAACTGTCAATTAAACAGTTAAACAGCTTTAAATGAAGCATAAAAAATGTGAAAAGGCAGATCTTCATTTAATGGTACTTACCCTGAAGCTTTGTGATTAGTGGATACATTTCTTGATGATGTAGAACTGGCACTATTTTTTTTCGAGAGATCAAGCACGCCATCTGCTATGAAAGTTAAAAATTAAAGATTAAGTGAATAATATTACATTGAGGGATAGTGCTTATACAGGGCAAAGCATATTTTTGGAAACAAAAATACGTGCTGCAGAGTACTGATTGTTTCACAGTATAGTCTGTTACACTAATAGATTACATTTTTACATACGTTTTGTACATTTTAATAAGATCTTTCAGAACTGAATAAAAGCAAACGTCAAAGAGATTTAATGCAATAGTCAGAACAACAATAATTACTTGGCATATTGTACAAAGAGATGTAATCATTGTGCAATTTTAATTAAAGGTGAATATAAAAATCTGCAAAGAATTCTGAACAAAATAAAACTTGCAAATGCAGACCACATCGGCAGGATATTTTCCCCACAAAGTATTCTCAGTGTTAGGAGAACTTACCTTGTTCAACATTCAGATGGTTTCTGTTCACAGTGAGGTCTAATGGTCCATCTTGATCTTGGAATTGTTGGAGACTGCTACAGACTGAATCCACATCCACGGATGTTCCATTTTTTGCTTCCTGTATCCGACGACTTTTCGAAGCATACTCAATTGCAAACCGGCGGATCATCTTTTTCATTAATTCCTGAGCAACTAAGGGAATGTTTGGATCACAGTTCTGAGGAAGGTCTATCAATAAAAGGAAGGTATATTAGTCAGAAACAAACAATAAAATACCCAACATGCAATGAACAGCTTAAATTAAAACTGAATTTATTATACAGCAATTATTCAGGCACTTATTTTCTGTTGCAACCTTTGGCACTGAATGTGACCACTACAAAAAAAGATATGTAATTTAGTGTACATTCAGGAAAAGATCAAACATTAAAGAATGGGAGTATGTCTATCAAGTTTTGATTCTTCTTAAATCCAGGACAGGATTCCAATCCAGGAACTGAAGCACATAGGAAAACAAATATTACAATGAAAAAGCTTTTATTCAGACTGTGTGATTAACATTTCTCTTTACTAGTAAAACATAAATTGAATCACACTTCAAATTCTAAACTAGAATTTATGGGTAATGATACCACTGTAAAGAGCAGCTTCCTCTACTGAGTTAGTCATACCCTTCATCTTGGGAATTGACCCCTGTAATAATCTGTCAAGTTTATGCTACCTTGCGAACACAGATAAAGATGCTTCATAAAGAAACTGCAATCTTAGATAACATTTACAGCAACTTAATGAAATTTAAAGAAAAGATAAAGGAATGGAAAGGATACATTATACGTTTTGATTCTGCTGGTACATGCTTCATGTTTATATTCTTTCCAAACAAAGATACTGCATTATACATCTTTTTAATAAAAGTGTTCTACAATGACTACACAGGCTGTTAAAAGATTTTCTCAGGATTTATTGCACAGCAGTGTACAGCTGCACCATTATAATTCAACAAATGCTTTTACTTACTGATGATATTTTACTATTAGTAAGCAACCAATTGCATTTTATATATACTGTAGTTTGAATATATATAATTTATTTTAATTTAACATATTAAGCACATGATTTTTATATGACCATTCTGTTCCATTGAAAATGCCATCTATGATTAGTACAGAAAAGAGTGTATGAGAAGTGTGCAAAAAAGGTTTAATAAAAGACCCCTTTTCTATTACAACTGAGTTTTACACTGAAATGAAGTAACTGGAAAGGCAGGATATCAATCAAAATATTTGATTACACTTCTTTTTTAAGGTATCAATAACAGTTTTTCTTGACTCATGTTTAAGAAAAAATTCAGAACAAACTTTTGAAAGGAATATAGTAATATATACCGATGTCAAGCCTAGTGGATATAAAAATTCTAAAATGTTTTAGTGATGGTTTTCATCCTTGTGCCTTTATTCTAAGAAGTTCTTACATTAAAATGATTTAAAAGTACAAAAACATTACAACTGGTCTTATACCTGGGGCAACATTAAGAATAAAGTTAAAGAACATAAATGTCATAAGACACCACTCAAAGTTTTTACCTTTCTTTCGAAAGATTGCATGAAGAAACTTGTCTGCTTGGCATTCAATTTTCTCAGTGTTAGACTGGCCCTGAGATGGAGATTCTTCTGTAGGAGTTGACTGTGATGAACTGACAGTGGGAATATGGTCCTGTATAAGTTTTAAAAAACAAAACAGAAATAAAATACTGATTAAGACACATAAATGAACCTAAAAACTGCAAAAATAATCTACTATAAAAGTAGCAGCCGGAATTTGAATCAAAATACTCCAACAGAAATATATTTTTATTTTCCACCTTTTATATGTTAGTATGTGATCATGGACTTTGTTAAAATAAAACAATTAAACATGCACTAAAATGAAGTTATATGTATCCTTTGATTGTTCAAGAAAGTAGCTGCATCAGCATGTGTAGGCTGCAACGGAACAAGTCAAGGATTATTCCATGCTGAAAAGAGAAGAAAACATTTTGGCTGTGGAATCTTCTTTGGGTGTGAAGAACACATCCGAAGAAGGCTTCACAGCCGAAATGTTTTTCTTCTCTTTTCAGCATAGAATAAACTTTGACTTGTTCCTTTGTATCATTTGATGCTCAGTATATTACTTAAAACAGCAACAAAATCCAAACAATTATTGATATTTTTTGGTTTAAATATCTTATTTAAAAAAGTGTCACAGCCCAATTACACTGCTCAATGTGCATCATCACCAAGGCTTGTACTGCAAAAGTCATGGACTAAGTGTATGTGGTCTCTGTTGCAGCTGCATGTTCTGCACCAGGTTACAGATGTCTTGTGGGATTCTGTCCCATTCTTTTAGAGGAGCATGGACAAACTAATGAACAGGCATATGTTTCCGGGCCCTAGATACCACACGTCATCCCAAACACATCTAAAAAATGTTTAAATATCAGTGATGGTGCTTAATACATCCACATCATGAATGTCATGTCAATATATTTTTTTTCTTCACCAAGCTTGATATTGAACAGGTCAAATCGTCTCATCACCTTTCCCCAATTAAATCTTCAGTAATAAAATGACTTTTCATGACACAATCACTTGTGAGTGACACTGTTTGTCATAAATCATTAAATGATGGAAAAAACATCTGTATGTAGTAAAACCTCAGTATTTGAGAGGGTTAGTCTCCAAGAAAGGTGACTTTGTAAATGCAAGACTTAATACCTTATAGGGAAAACAGGATATGGATATGGCTTTTCCGTAATAAAACCAGCACTACAATATTATACCAGTAATATTTGTAAAAATTTACCTATTTCAGAAATAGTTTCAATTTTTTAAAGAAAATGCTGTAAACAAAGTTTTTGCTTTGGTTTTCTCCCTATATTTCAAGTGTAAACAAATGTTATACCATGGCTTACTCAGTATTAAGAGTTATTTTTTCATTCTTAGTAGAGTGCATTTTACTTTACATATTGCTTTTACTAATATTACAAAATGAAGCACAACTGTCCAGTAACAAAGTTTATTATAGCACAGTAATAACAGATAAGATCATTTAAGCAAGAAACTAAAATAACTGTACTCACTTCCTTACCAGTCTACCAACTAACTCTCCTGTCCCTGGTTCTTCTAATTTCTTTCTTTCTTTCTTTCTTTGTTTTTTGCGAGAATGGATGCTGCGATAACTTATGGGACCACAGAAATTTGTTATTAAAGTTATTTTATTTCACAACATTACATAGGCATTACTCTCATGACCGGTCTACAAGCAATGCACACCTAACGCTTTCTAGAGAGAAAATGAATAATGCATAAACAAGATGCAGTCCTAGTGAATGGCTGAACTTGGTCCACGAAAAGTGGTCACTAATTTTGCACAAGTAGACAAAATTATGAATGCTGAACTTGCAAATATTGAGGTTTTACTGTATTTCTAGAAACATACATGTAAACAGTGTCTTGTGATGCTCCTGCATGTTAACCCATTTGTATATAAACACACAAGATTTAAAAAAGTGTAACTATTTATAATTTCTCTGGTACTCTTGCTACCCAAAGAGAAAGTCACAACTTGTATAAACTTACATTGAGCTTTTCTAATTGTAGATTGCAGAAGGAACAGCTTGCATCCACTGACCAGTCGGTGACCACATCTGGTTCACAGTCTAAATAAAATAAAAAGTTTAAAATATTTTTCAGAACAAAATCATACCTTTGTGAATTAAAACTACTCATAAATCTGAAAGGTTTGACTCAAAACCATATTTTTAAATAAAATCAGGTGCATTTTGATGGATATATGTAACGTAATGAAAGGCTCACAACATAACTAATCTATACCACCTGGCTTTTTGAAGATGACAAATCACAAAGCAGCTTGTACACCTTAACACTAATACAGCGATAGAAGCAGGACTCTTTTCTTGCCAAATAGAAAGCAGTGCCTACTACAGATCTGTATTTACTCAAAAATCATTTCTCAAATTTCGTGGGTATTATTTGTGACTAGAAGAATTCTGATGGAAAATTAACATATCTGGCCTGAGAAGCACCATATTTGTGATATGGCATCCATAATTTAACATGCTAAGCCTTTTAGTTGTAACCAGGCATTTTGATTTTACTTGATTTAACCCACATCTACAAGCTTATTTCATCATTCAGGCTAATCCTAAAAATAGGTAGAAGCTTGGACATAAATAAACAAGTGCACCTGACAGTAATCTGACTTTCCCATAACACAACAGTGCTATAATCTTATATGTGTACTCAATTTAATACCTGGAATTTTAATTTTAATACAATATTAAAACAATACTGATGTTTTTGAGTGTCTTTAAGTCAAGAATTATAACAGCTGGTATTTACACTTTGAAAAATGTATAGAATAACTTTCATTTTTCTCTTTGGATCACATATTTGCAAAAGGATGGACTACAGTGCTTAATTTAGCATTTAAACCATAAAATAAGAAATACTTTCCACACTGTTAAAATTTGTTATGTTAAACATACCAATTATAATCTCGATTTAATAATGTGAGGTTTAAATGTGTACACATTCATACATACATTAAACAAACAACATATTTGTTCATTTACGCCAACAGTGAGGAGTACTGGCTGGGACACCCATCGAAATTATGGATTCCAATCCTGCAACCTACCCTGCTTCTGTTGCCTTGAGCAAGGTTCTGGTGTGTAATACATACAAATGTAAGTCAGTTTGGATAGGAGTGTGAGCCAAATTAGTTCATAAATCAGTCTGCTGGTTAGTATTGTACAGTTATGATTTAATATTTGAATTAAAATCCTTACTCCTTTTGACAAATACTGCTACAGCACATTCTGCCTTTGGCATCTACTATTTATTTGGTACAGCACAACTGTTTTTTCTGTATACTAACTGCTGAAAGAACAGTAAATATTTTAATGTCAACTGATTTAGTGTGTGCAAATACTTTGTTTTGCACAGCTACAAATTGAAGCTTTAAAGCTTTTAAGGAAAACTAAATTATTCAAACTGATAGCAAAAAGAAATTTTTGCATACAATTTCTTTTAACATAGCCATTTGAGCAGGTTTAATCAATGTCAAATTCCATGTAAAAACACAAATTTAAAATACATAGTATCTTGCAACTATTCAACTTACAGGCTTTAATGTGGCAGATATAATTGTTAGATATGTTAAATCATTGGCTCCTTTATTGTGCCGATACAAATCTCTGCTGACACACTGTATGAACTTATCTCTAATCATTTTGTGCTACAAATAGAATAAATGCATGTTTTGTAATACACAAATATCACATACCATTTCATGATTTTTTTTTGAAAAATACAAAATTTAAATAAGTTAGTGTTTTGTTAGTTGTTTCTTCAAATTGATTCTAACAAAAATAGAACAGTGGTAGTTGGATGTCTGAGCTCATCACAGAAAAAATATTGTCCATGACTTTTTGGCTCCATCACAGTAGAGACAAACTGAAAAGCTCCTGACAGACTGCAAATAAAGGAAATTATATTTTGGTAAGGAAGTTTTTTTCCCCAAAATGTTAAAACATTTTAAACAAGAATTTTCAGGACAATCTATTTTAATTCTTAAAACAAATAGTGAAATAACTGAATAATGAAGAAATGTATGTGATCTCACAGGAAAAGCTGATGTGAAAAACTAAAGTCTTCATAAAGACATTTATGTAGATGCAATTACAATTTTGTAGCACTGTTACTACTCAAAGGTAACCGCAAATATCAAATTCTGGGTCTTAATTTATACTTGATCCCTATAGTGTAAATTTAGTAATACGCAATATCAAAAGATGTTACAATTAAGCTAAGTAAACACGCTAAGTAAACAAGTGAAAAGCAGTCTTGGGATGTGAACTAATTTTCTAACATTTAGTTTGTAATTTGAGAGGGGTATAAATATTCAATATAATTGTCAAATACATAAGCCATGTTTTTGTTTAATAACAGATTAGAATTATCCTATTTTCCACTTTTTAAATGTTTTATGTTCCTATTGTTATATCTGTCAAATTAATTTGTAAACTCCCAATAAAAATATTTTCTATATTTCGAAGTTTGTTAAAAAAACCTAGCAGATGTATGAATGTCATTTTAACTTTAAACTTCAATGATAGTTTATCTTTTTTTTTATTTGACATAATTAGAACACAAGCCTTACAGACTTGACTTCCATGATACAAAGCAATTTGATCTCAATCATCCGGGAGAAGCTGTTCTTGAAACAACTAACGCAGTCGAAGGTGCTTGATCAAGTAAGAACGTAAAATATCCCCAATTAACCACTAAAAGGAAGCACCTGATTCAACCTATGTTACATTGTTTATGGCAGGTTCAAACAATTACACTTCAATGTACTGAGACTGCCAGAGTCACAATGCAAGGGGAATTCCTACATATAAGCAGGTCTCACAAAAAATCATGATTCTCTTTAATCTCTCTTGTGTTGTAACACTAGCAGCACTAAATTTTAAAATTTGCTAGGATTGTTGCGTCTTAGTGAAACTGAAAAATAGTGTCTTTACAGAGAAACAATTTGGGCTGCACTATTACTAAAGTGAAGCCAGTGTGATCATGTTATACAAAGTTCCTGCTGTCTTGTGAAAACAGCTGCAACAGGTCAAAAGAAAACATCTCACCTTATAATGCAACCCTGATAACAGCAAGGATAGAGGACTTCAAAAAAGCTGAGTGCACTGACTAAAATCCCCACGACTGGAAAAGGCAGCACAGCACACAAGATTTTATCAGAAGTGCAAACAACTAAACAACGTAGGACAATTATTGGTTGATTTTTAAATAGGTCATTACTGTAATAGCAGAGACATTTCATTTTAAATGTTTCACAACATTATTTTACAAAGTAAGCCAACTGTATCCAGAACCTGCTGCTATGAAAATTCCTGCCAGTTAAAATCGATTTGACATTTGTACAAGGAAGTCAGCTCTCACCTGTTCATTTTAAGGACACTAACATGACTGGCAGTTTTTTTATTTGGATCAAGTCATGCGATTTCAACTCAAGAAAACCTGGCCCTATCCAGATTCTGATAACCTTAATTCCTGTTAGTTTAAAGCAATATATTTTATTAGTAACTGCACAAATTAACTTTAGGTGCAAGATGCCCCAATGAATTTAACCACACATAATATAAAATGAATTTGCAGTTAATTACCTGAAAGCATTGTTCTGGATCTTCTAACTGCTTCTTCAATTCAGGATTGTGGATGAGCCGGAGCCTATCCCGGCAAGCAAAGGGGGCAAGGCAGGATATACCCTGAATAGGATGCCAGTCCATCCCCGGACAGATGGGTAGAAAGTCACGAACATGCTCACACCTGAGCCAACCTTCCTAGAAGCCAATTAACCTACCAGTAAGGACTTTGGACTGAGGGAGGAAAACAGATAACCCAGAGGAAGCCCACAGGACCACAAGAGAACATATAAACTCCATGCAGATAGCTCCCTTATCTGGGACTGAACCAGGGCCTCAGCAAATAACATCTTATGAAATGCACAAAGACTTGGTGCTATTCAATTTTTATTATTCTGTAACTTTATTGATGGTGAAAGTTTGCACCTGTTTAACACTGCTGTTTTAGAATATTTTCTCTTCGGGCAATAAATGGATAAAATTGCAAATACTGTGAAATGCATTTGTTTTATAGGCTATTGGGAGATGTGCAGAATGAGATAACAAAATCGTGAACTTTGTGAAAGTACCATATAGTCGCCATGTTGTTCAAGAGTTTGTGAGAATTATGATGCGTGGCAGCCTTTCCTGCTTACTAGTCATTGTAATGACTATTGTAATGTGATGTACAAAAGGATGAGCACAGGTTGTGCAGGAGACATTTCACCTCAGAAATCTTCCAACATGATTTATGTGCAGAGTTAACAAGCTAGTAGTATTTATCGGCAAAACCTGTCCAAAGTCTATTGGATTAAAAGAGACGAATTAACAAGCCTGCTTGTTTCCAATATAATAGGGCCCGTTTGAGTCTCCGGAAGTTTTGTTGCTTCATTCTGAATTGCTGCACATACCTGGAAATTTAGTCTATTTTGTGATGCAAGTTGGAGATTTTACTTTCATTGTGGTTTGAAATGCACTCAATGCCGATTCTTTCAAATCCCAAGAATAAAAATAGTCACATGACTTAAAAGCTCTCAATTAACAGATAAACCAGTTGACAATGTTTACATTTACACTGAATGTTTTTCTATTAAGTCACATTTCACAAGGAGTTAATTTTCCTCATTTTCACTTTGGAGATTTTATACAGGATGCTGCAGTTCATGTTACTGCATTTATTTTATTTCAGCATTTCTCTCCAACAAAATCAAACCATTTTGTTGACATTACAGCCTATACATGCTCCTAATGAATATTTTAATTTATTGCCCACATCATTTGTGATAGCACTGAAAAAAGATGCATGTTTGTGTTAATACCCACATACACTGCTGTTTATTACGCTTATGCATGCAAGTTATAAATGACTAATGGAGACTGAGGTACCACAATGGAATGCTAAAATGCTTAAAATTGGCTTTAGAGGATGCTGTATGAAAACGTCTTGCTGGAGGACTGAAATAAAGATGAGAATTTTTTTAAAAAATCCTCCAGGCTTTATGTACTTCTAGTTAACACTTTGGTTCTAAATGTAAGATTTCTCATTTTGCATGTTAACTGCCACCTCCAGCTGCTTTCAAAGTAACATGATAGTATTTCAAATGCTACGTTTCTTAGGTGTATGATGTGACTAGCTAAAAAATTGAACCAGTTCTACCGTAAACTCTGTCCAACACTGATTTAAAAACATCCCTGTAAATAGACAAACTACTTGGTAACTGATAAAAAACTTACCATCAAATATACTGAGATCCCTAAGCAGCCTTGGTCCATAGATTCCTTCTAAAATACTTTCAAAACCTAAAAAAGGAGAAGGGGAGATTACATATTAAGAAAAGAAATTAAACACAACCCTGACGTCGTTATACAAAAATTATACAGATAACATTAAAACAAAAGGACCACAAGCATCAACCTTTTAACTTTAATTTTTTTTCCCTCTGATCTACACAAACCATACTTCTTCAATGGGAAAACTCAGATAACATACACATTAAAACATAAGATTGAAATACAGACAGTATACCGGTTGAAATATGTGCCATGATATGGATTTGGCTATATCGTTTATACCGGTAGAGAATAGATTTTGATGTTTACATAGATTGCGCTGCCAACATCGTCGCAAAACAGATTTTGGACATTTTTACTATTGACCCGTCATAGTTTAAAATTCTGCTGTATTTTAGCTCGAATTATATAATTCTGAAAATGTTAATCTTGCTGATATTTGGAAATCTGATAGGTTCAGAATTATTGATCTTCGGTGGTTCAGACGTCCGGTTTACGACGCATCTGAGGTCATTGCGGCCAATAAAAACACGCGGGCGTCTCTTCCTTTTTCCGTGAAAACAAACGTACGTGTTCGGTGTGCCCGTCTGCAAACACAAATACGCGGAGAAATGGAGAAAGGCAGCGTTAGTGAGACGGGAACAAGTGACGAAATTAGTGAAAAGAAGGGTGCTTCATTGGCTGTTTGGAAAAAGACAGGCCACGAGCAGAAAACGGTTATCTGCAAACTATGTCGGGCGACGATTTTAGCCAGAGGCGGCAATACCTCTTCTATCACCTATAGACGAAACATGTATGTGAGTATGAGGAAAGTACAAGAATGTGCTCCGAATATAGCAGTTCTATTGTCGGTGTTAAAAGAAAAGCCACAACATTGCTGCCTGAGTCATTAACTAGTTGTTGCCCTCATGACAAGAAAAGCCAGCGGTGGAAGGTCATTACACACTACTGCAGTTCAATGTGAAATTTCAAAAATACGAAAGGAACAACAGTAGCCAACCAACAGTTAATCATAACCTAATAGTTAAATCCAGGCAATAAAAACGTACTATCCAAGTCTTGTACACCTGTTAAAGCATGTTCTATTGAAATTGAGAACAAATTCTATATCGTGACATATATCGTTACTTTCCAAAATTAAACTTATACCTTGATATAAATTTCAGGCCTAAGTACAATAATAAGATGGCATGTTAGCTCAAAACCTAGTACAGTAATCTAGGGCTTAACGGAAAGGTATGAAGTTACCACCTGAACTAAACTTTTTCTGGCAGGAATCCCTGCACCAGCTATATAAAAGAATGGATATATTTTTAAATGATATATTTAAGGTTAATCTGTTTAATGATAAAATGTATGGACATTTTATACTGAAATTGAATTTTCTCTGTAATCTGAGCAGGTCTGGTGCCTTTGAAGCCTACCTAAGACATCTGTGCTAACCTACCCAATATATTTCTGTCCTCTCACTTTATGAAAAGTATGGAAATTAGTTATCAGAAAACAATGTTAAAGGATAAGTATTTTTTTGTAATACAGTTGTACTAGTCATCTTAGGCCTCCCAAATGTCACACTGCTGAAAGAAAACAGGCATTTTTTTAAATCATCATAATAGAAATTTCATTTTCCAGCTCACATATATAAAATCTCTTAATATTAAAAAGATTAGAATTCACCAGAAGGTACATAAAATAAATGTAATTGAAGAAGTAGGCAGCTATGTCAGCATGTGTAGGCTGCAAGGCTGCACCTGAAGACTCCATAGCCGAAACATTGTGTCACTATTTCCTTTCAGCATCCTTTACCGTTCCTAAAATAAATGTGAAACGTGTTTGTCTATGGCTAATCAAAGGATGAAGATTCAAAGTAACTTTCAAGATGACCAATTGGGTGCAATCTCAAACTTGTACTCATTTCTCAAAAATAAAATCCATGATTGTTTTACCCAAGTCATTTTTTTAAAATTCAGATCAATCTACTAGATATCTCAAGATAATCAGCAAAACCAAATATGATTTATTAGATGTCTGAAGATGAGCTGGTGATTTTAAATGATGCATGGGATTGATGGGTACATTTACCCTAATTGTTTAACCACTATGCAATCACAATAAATACATTTAAATTGACTACTCAAGCTAGACTGACATCATACATAATTAAAAAGTTAACAGGAGTAAGGATTAAGAAACAGAGCATGATTTGGTGGATACTTGTTTCAAAGCATCTTTACATTTTCATTTGTAAAATAAGACCTTGTCTATAAGTCATTTGTAATAAGGAAAAAACATTATATTTATCTTTTTTGACATAACATTTAGAGGACATTTCTTAATATACATTTAACAGAGAAAAATGTGTGGTTTTCAAATACTGAGCCTTCCAAACGTATTCAGACCTTTGACCAATTCTCTCATTTTACTGTAATATTTGTATTTCAAAGCACTGAAACTCCAAATTAATGTTAGAAAATATTAAGAAAAATTGAAATCTGCTATTTGCATAATTACTCAATCCCCACATTTTAATATTTTGTACAGCCACCTTTTGCAGCAATAACAGCTGTAAGTCTTTTGGGTTAAGTATGTACCAGCTTTGCACACTGTTCAGGAGTGATTTTGGCCCATTCTTCCAGGCAGATTTGCTACAGGTTGTTCATGTTAGTAGGATGACGCTTGTGCACTGTATTTTCAAATAGTGCCACAGATTCTTAATTGGATTGAGATCAGGGCTTTGACTGGGCCATTGTAGGACATTCACCTTTTTGTTCTTGAGCCTGGCCTGCTGAAAGATGAACTTTCTCCCAGGCTTTAGTTTTTTAGCAGACTGAAACAGGTTCTCTTACAGTACTTCCCTGTATTTTGCACCATCCATTCTTCCTTCTATTTCAACAAGATGCCCAGTCCCTGCTGATGAAAAGCAGCCCCACAGCATGATGCTACCACCACCATACTTCACTGTAGGTATGGTGTTTTTTTTAGGTGTGGGGCAGTGTTAGATTTGTACCACACAGAGCTTTTTAGCCAAAATTCAAAGTTATATCTCGGTTTCATCTGACCACAATCTTTTCCCACATCGCAACTGGGTCACTATCATGCTTTTTGGCAAACTCCACACATGCTTTCACATGGTTCTTTTTGAGTAATGGCTTCTTCTGTGTCACCCTCCCACATAGGCCAGTGTTATGCAGAGCTCCTGATATGGTTGCCTGGCGCACCTTTACTCCGCTCTGCTCAGCTACCGAACTCTGTAGCTCCTTCAAAGTGACTGTTGGCTTCTCTCACAAGTCTCCTTGTTCGCACAGAGAGTTTTAAGGGACAACCTTTTCTAGGCAGTGTCTGGGTGGTTTGATATAGCTTCCACTTCCTGATAATTGAACTGACAGTGTCCACTGGGACATCCAAACACATGGATACCGTTTTGCACCCTTTTCCTAATTTATGCATTTGTCTTTAACCATAACTTCTTTGAAATGGTCTTTAGTCTCAGTTTATCAAGAAAATCTGGCAGTTATTTTAATGATTCACAGGTAGAGATCAATTGTAGGGCAATTATGTCTTTATTAGAGCAATATATGCAAACAGCATATTTCAGTTTTTTATTTTTCTTAATATTTTCTAACATAAAATAATGTCAAATTAAAAATAAAATTGAGTTTCAGTGCTTAGAAATAAAAAAAAATCACAGAGAACTAAATTTCAATGTAGGATTTGTAATTCAGTTAAATGAGAGAATTGGTCAAGGGTATGGGTAATATTTTTTCATTGGAAATATATTTAAAAAAATATTAGTCCATTAAATGCTTAGTCTGTTATATTCCGATCCTCCTGTCAGACTTTGTATGAGGAGCTGATGCAGAAGGAATAGGTTATTAAACTGACAAGGAACAACGCGCAAGACACCCCCTCAGCTCATACATGAGATCAGAATGAAAAATCGGCAAGGTGATTGGGTAGAGAAGAGGAGAGGTTTAGAACTCAAAACTTTTCCAAACTAAAGAAAATCTGAATGAAAATATTCAGAACCAAAACACGGTTGGAATGGACTAATAAACCGAACAATCTTTAAGAGGAAATTTTGTGGTTGTCCCTTTACGTCTTAAAATGGACATTAGCAAGCAAGTTAAAGGAACTTTAAGTTTAAACCACTATGTACAGGTCATGTTGCATCTTAAAACAGGAGAAATACATTTAGCAGATTCTGAAATCTTTATGCCCTGGGGGGCTGCACTTTGGATAATCTCTAAAGCTAGTATTACAATTCCACCACACAAAACTGACGTGCATAAAGTACCACACTCCCTCAATAAAAGCCTTTAATGTAATAAAACCTCACTTTTGTCTCTCTTACCCTCTGGTCTATACATCAAGTAATTTTAAAAACTTTCAGTACAATTAGCACTGTCAGCACATATGAATTTCTGAACCACAGCAACCATAACAAATAGTATCCATTAGAATGAGGATACACACTGTGTAAATATGACCTCTGAAGTTTTTGAAATCAGCTGTTTTAATGTTGTGACAAGAATGATATTAACTTGACTGAAGAAGTGAACAGAAAAAAGGCACAAATGCAAATATGTTTTTAGGGTGATGATTAAACATGCATGTTGTTCTTGGATCTAGGAACCATGGAAGAAATGATTCATTTAGATAGCTTCAGCTCTGTAAACAGCATTGGAGACATGAGATCAGATTTAATTTCTTGTATTAATACAAGCACAAATAATGCTTAAATTACCCAGTGTAGGCTTTAAAAGTACTGCATTTTAGTGTTTGATCAATGTGCCCCCCCATTATCCAAAATGTTACACACAAAATAAAAGTAAAATATGTTGAAACTACACAAAGCACACAGTACCTTACACTATAATTGCTTGAGGGGATGGAGAACACCTGATCAACCATACTGTTGTATGTGCATACACTATCTAAACATTTATAAATGTGAATACTTCAGTTAACATGTATTTTTATACCACAGTCACACTTCATTTTAAGCAAAA